ATATATATTGCAGGTAGATGTTTTTGAAGTTATCAGCATTGGAAGAAACCCATATCCACTTGGCTTATTAACCAAAGTATTTATTCTACTGACATCTTTGTGAATGGTCAGTGGATCTTTTTTTTTTGAGTAAAAAAATATGATTCAGTTAGTTTGTGTTAAATGTATTATGCATACGCATATTATGAATTACAATACCTTGCTTTCTTCTTATCAACATCAGCCATTGATAAACCCATGTTGGTCAGCCAGCATCTTAAATTGGCGTAAACAATGAATTAAGTTTTAAGTTGTCCAATCCTGCTCCCAGACAGCCACTGTCCTGCAGGATTTAGCTCCAACCCCAAGTAAATACATGAAAAACTCCTATTCAAAGTCTTCAGCATTACTATAAACATTCAGACAGGTGTTTTGGGGCAAGTTAGATCTAAACTCTTCAGGGTATTGGTCCTCCAGGAGCAGGATTGGACACCCCTGCTCTTATGCTGTGTGTTTCACATATATTTTATTTCGGTGTTCCATCTGCATCGATGGAAGAATGCAGACATTCCGTAACCATAATGGAACCAAATGTCATGAGAATAATTTGACTGTTGAACTAAATGTAGTCATGCTGGTATCCCTAAAATTTACATATATCACTGAATCCATTAAAAAATCATATCAGTCAATCTATTTGGAAAACTTTTTCCATTTTAAGAGCTCAGGAAGCGATCTAGAATATTGTTTTTATGTAAAGTATAGAGTGACATTCATGATAATGTATTTCTACACTAAAACATTATTCGTAATGTTAAGTGTTAAGTAGTCAAGTGTAAATGTAATATATGCATGCAATTACAGTGCTGTCTTCCTCCGTTGATGCATCTGTAAAATGGCATGCCTTGACATATTGAAATGTTGTCATATTCGTGAGGTGTTTAACATACATTAACATACATTATCTTGAAGGTTATGTATAATGACCTGCCGGAAGGAAGAAAGGAAAGCTGCCTCACATTCTGACCTTGTCGATTCGGTGACCTGTTGACCTATCTCCTCTTGGGCAAGTTGAGCTCTGACCCTAGGCATTGTGCTCTAATTGAGACAGCATGGCGTTGCAAGGATATTAGCCGCATCTGACGTGTCTGGCCATGCCTGAAGCAGCCCTGAACTTTAGCATGTGAATGGCTATGCCATACATTAGATAGAAGACTCTGAAAAGAGAAAATTATATGCACACACTAATGTGATTCACCCAAGCTGGAAGATTACAAGGTGTTAAGTGGTTAGAGGGAATGTCTGAGGCCATTTGTTTAAGGGCAGAGACTCATATCTTTCCGGTAATATGCTTCTATCACTTGTCAGTTTGGTACTGATCTAAAATACCACAAGGGAAAACATTTAAAAGTTTGGGAACCAACTAGAAAGAGTGATGGAGAAAATGGGGAATGTCTTCCATGAGCCAGAGTCCTATCTCCCTGTAAGCTAAATAAAATGGTTTGAGTGGCACCTTAATCTCTCTGATAACCCAAACTCACAGATTTGCAGCCAAGCAAAGCCAATGGCATCACATTCCCTTGGGACTTCACAGCTTGACTTTGTCAAGGACAATTCTTTGATTTCTTCCATTCCTCCTTCTGTCTGTAAGAAAGAAGGCTACCTAGCCTCCATCATCGACCCCTCTTAGTCACAAATAAGCGGAGTGAACCAGTGAAGTCGTCATAGAGACAACCCAAGTAACCTCTGCTGTCAGTGTGCATCAAGACTTAACCTGTAATGGCTCCATCTGAGGTCTTGAGTCTAGGACAAACCGTGACTGCTGAGAGATTTGAAACAATTTTGTGAACTTTTGAATGCCTCCATGAGCAAGTGTATGTTTAGATTCAGTTAGAGAGCATCAATGGGATAGTTTAACCCAAAAAATTTAAATTCTGTCATCATTTTCTCATCCTCATATTGTTGCAAACCTGTATACTGTTCTTTCCTCTGTGGAACACAATAATGTATTTTGAATGTTTCAACCCTTTTGTCAGCATTCTTGCAATTCACACAAAAATTTAATAAAATATTATAATTACGAGGCAGACCTCAAATTTTTTTTTTACCATAGTACATGATTTGTAAATTAGTACATTTTGATGTTTGCGTCACATAACCAGCTCCATATATGTGGATTTTCTGGCATAGTAAACTTGCTAGGTAGCTCACCTGGTACAGCATCCACTTGCGATATAAACAAGCAAAAATGGCATTGCTGCATTAGAAAATGCATTTTTCCCCCTCACATTTGTCTTTGTTAACACTATCGGTTGGATTATACGTAATAAAACATTGCCAGAATCACATTCATCTGTTTTTCTGTTTTGGGAAAAACTGAACACGCTTTTAGCACCACTGACTGGACATTTCACTTTGAAAAAAGTTGCTAAATGTGCAACAAGCAGTGTAATATTTTTCAGAAATGTTGCCACAAAAGGTTTTTCCAATGAGATTTGATTGCTTTTTGTCCATATAATTAATGTCAGTGGGGTCCGAAATAGTAGTGGGAAATAATAATAATTATAATAATGACATACTAAAAAACTGAATAGAAAAAAAGAAAGCCTTTCAGAAGATTATTCCCCCCCAAAAAAATATGTTCCACAAAAGAAAGAACATAGAGGTTTGGAACAATATGAGGGCGAGTAAACAATGACAAAATTATAATTTTTAAGTGAAGTATCCCTTTAAAGGGGTCATATGATGCGACTTCAAGTTTTCCTTTCTCTTTGGAGTGTTACAAGCTGTTCGTGAATAGATAAGATCCCTAAAGTTGCAAATGTCAACGGTGTGCTTGAGGGTACATGTGAGTGACAGCTTTGCTTCAGGCCACTGCAAGCAAATCGTCAAGACGGACTGCCATTGCCCACAAATTAGTGCTTCTGTTCTACGTTTTGACAAGACTACTGACACGCGCTGACATTGCGAGGGGGCTGCGAGACAGCTGACTCACAAGGACGGGTTCATATGCCCATTTCTCAATGACTTATCAACATTCCGATTTCCAAGGGATTGTCTCAAAGGCAAATAAGACCTTTTTACTAAAAGCCCACCTTAATATAGCCTAATTACTTTTATAAAATATTGAGAGTTTGAGAAGTCAGCGAGAATCCAGAGGAAAAGTTTATTGTTCATAGTTGGATCTTTTATAGGCTACGAGACATGATATTGATTGTCAGTTGTTTCATTGAAGTAACAACTTTTTCGCTTTAGAAACTATGATCTATTTGTGAGGAAACTTCTTACCTAAAATTAAAAAGGCAACTATATATTTTCATGTACAAAGATCTACTTATACTGTGTGAGAAAATTTATATTGTAATGTTGTTTTAAAATGTAATAATTGGCTTTTATATTGTCCCAATGTACTGAAGCCAAAACAAATGATTATATTATTATATTATATTATTATAAACATAAGTCGACAGCATATGTTTTTTTTCTAAACTCTCTTAGGTTAATGTTAGACGTATGAACCGGAAGAAAGGCATTATTAAAGTCAAATTTATCTCTAAGATAACAGTGGAAGTTAACATGTTAACTTAGACAGCCTTAAAAATACATTTAGTAAAAAACATTTTTTTTTTTTTTTAAAGTTTTTCCACTGACTCCATCGCACCCTCTTGAGGTGACCCTAGTTTCATAATCTCTGACTTGAAAACAAACTCAAAGGAAAAAATTGTTGTCAAACAGGATGAAAAAAGCATATCAGTTAGTCCAGATGGTTGATTGTAGACTTTGGTATCTTGGTAAACTGTTCTCTTTTAATGCATGAGAGATTATTGGTGACTTTTTTTCTCAGCAGAAAAATCTGAGAAGCATACTATTTGCATTCCAAATAGTCTAATTGCTGTATGGAAATGACATATTAAACAGATTTCTTTTGTATTTTTTTTCTTTCCCTTTTGTTAAATAAATAATCTCAGTGCTTTTGTAATGTAATAATATCAAACATATCATATTGTATTTATGAATGAAACAGCATCTTCTTACACAATCTTAAGAAAAGAGGGAGTACAACTCAGCTGCAACTGCCTTTAGTGTTTCCCTCTTAATTACAATGCTAGTTAATTATTTCAGCTTTACACACAATGTCAAGTCCTTGTGCCTGGCGGCAATTAGAGATGTGCATTCATTAAAACCGCCCGTGCTCTTTCCCTAATGCAGCCATCAGCTATAGGCCATGCCTAACCATCCACACAGTGAGGGAACCTAATTAATAATTGCACACTCTCACATTTATAAACGCACACGTGCACCCTACTTTAAATAGAATGCACATTCCGTGAATTGATGGAGGAAAATATTTGGAGTGCAGCTCATGCTTGTGTTTATAGGGCAATAAAAGCTTTACTGAACTCCTGGAAGACTTAGTAAAAAATGCTGCCTATGCTGGCAAAATACGGACAACAAGGCTTGTCAGAATTCAATGATTGTGTTGCATCCTGTCTACTGAGATACCTTCATCTGATTGATTTTTGAAGGCAGCGTATCCTTCCATACCCACTATCCTGTGACATTTGAGAAATTAGCACCAGGTGCCAGATTAACACCAATAACTTGGAAGTATCTTCTTTAATTTTGAGTTATTTTTCAAATATCTCATTTGAGTTTTTTATACTGTGCTTCAGAATACAGTTAATAAAATATGCTTAAAAACTGCCCTTCTACTCCTGTTAGGATAACTTCAAATAGGACTAAGCAGTGACCTTGGAATTTAGGAAATTGTAGGTTGTTCTCAAATTTTGATCTCCACTGTATATACTGTATATATATATATATATATACATACATACACACACACACATGCATATGTATGTACACTTAATATAAGGCATAATGCTGCCTCAGAAGTCAGTTTCAGGAGGTACCTTTGTGTGCAAAATATTGTCTGATATGGCTTCAAGTCTAAGCTTAAGCATTCGGATGAAGTCAAAGACTCCTTAACCTGTATCTCTCTATTTCTGTGTGTTTCTCAGGTAACATCTTTGTGGTGAGTTTGGCGGTGGCAGATCTGGTGGTGGCCATCTATCCGTATCCGCTGGTCCTGACCTCCATATTTCACCGGGGCTGGAACCTGGGATACATGCACTGCCAGATCAGCGGCTTCCTGATGGGCGTCAGTGTAATTGGCTCCATTTTCAACATCACCGGCATCGCAATTAACCGCTACTGTTATATCTGCCACAGCCTCAAATATGACAAACTCTACAGCGACAAAAACTCAGTTTGCTATGTACTGCTAATCTGGGCCTTGACGGTGCTTGCAATTGTGCCCAACTTATTCGTAGGCTCCCTGCAGTATGATCCACGGGTTTATTCCTGTACGTTCGAGCAGTCGGCGAGCTCGGCCTACACGATCGCTGTCGTCTTCTTCCATTTTATCCTTCCCATCATGATCGTCACCTACTGCTACCTGCGAATCTGGATTTTGGTCATACAGGTGCGACGACGAGTGAAGCCCGACAATCGTCCCAAGCTCACGCCTCACGACGTGCGAAACTTCGTAACAATGTTTGTTGTTTTTGTACTCTTTGCCGTGTGCTGGGCACCATTAAACTTCATCGGGTTGGCGGTAGCGAGCTAGTTAATTATTTCAGCTTTACACACAATGTCAAGTCCTTGTGCCTGGCGGCAATTAGAGATGTGCATTCATTAAAACCGCCCGTGCTCTTTCCCTAATGCAGCCATCAGCTATAGGCCATGCCTAACCATCCACACAGTGAGGGAACCTAATTAATAATTGCACACTCTCACATTTATAAACGCACACGTGCACCCTACTTTAAATAGAATGCACATTCCGTGAATTGATGGAGGAAAATATTTGGAGTGCAGCTCATGCTTGTGTTTATAGGGCAATAAAAGCTTTACTGAACTCCTGGAAGACTTAGTAAAAAATGCTGCCTATGCTGGCAAAATACGGACAACAAGGCTTGTCAGAATTCAATGATTGTGTTGCATTCTGTCTACTGAGATACCTTCATCTGATTGATTTTTGAAGGCAGCGTATCCTTCCATACCCACTATCCTGTGACATTTGAGAAATTAGCACCAGGTGCCAGATTAACACCAATAACTTGGAGGTATCTTCTTTAATTTTGAGTTATTTTTCAAATATCTCATTTGAGTTTTTTATACTGTGCTTCAGAATACAGTTAATAAAATATGCTTAAAAACTGCCCTTCTACTCCTGTTAGGATAACTTCAAATAGGACTAAGCAGTGACCTTGGAATTTAGGAAATTGTAGGTTGTTCTCAAATTTTGATCTCCACTGTATATACTGTATATATATATATATATATATATACATACATACACACACACACACATGCATATGTATGTACACTTAATATAAGGCATAATGCTGCCTCAGAAGTCAGTTTCAGGAGGTACCTTTGTGTGCAAAATATTGTCTGATATGGCTTCAAGTCTAAGCTTAAGCATTCGGATGAAGTCAAAGACTCCTTAACCTGTATCTCTCTATTTCTGTGTGTTTCTCAGGTAACATCTTTGTGGTGAGTTTGGCGGTGGCAGATCTGGTGGTGGCCATCTATCCGTATCCGCTGGTCCTGACCTCCATATTTCACCGGGGCTGGAACCTGGGATACATGCACTGCCAGATCAGCGGCTTCCTGATGGGCGTCAGTGTAATTGGCTCCATTTTCAACATCACCGGCATCGCAATTAACCGCTACTGTTATATCTGCCACAGCCTCAAATATGACAAACTCTACAGCGACAAAAACTCAGTTTGCTATGTACTGCTAATCTGGGCCTTGACGGTGCTTGCAATTGTGCCCAACTTATTCGTAGGCTCCCTGCAGTATGATCCACGGGTTTATTCCTGTACGTTCGAGCAGTCGGCGAGCTCGGCCTACACGATCGCTGTCGTCTTCTTCCATTTTATCCTTCCCATCATGATCGTCACCTACTGCTACCTGCGAATCTGGATTTTGGTCATACAGGTGCGACGACGAGTGAAGCCCGACAATCGTCCCAAGCTCACGCCTCACGACGTGCGAAACTTTGTCACAATGTTTGTTGTTTTCGTGCTCTTTGCAGTGTGCTGGGCACCATTAAACTTCATCGGGTTGGCGGTGGCGATTTCTCCAGAGCGTGTGGTTCCTTTAATACCCGAATGGCTCTTTGTGGCAAGTTATTTCATGGCCTACTTTAACAGTTGCCTCAATGCAATCGTCTATGGAGTTTTGAACCAGAACTTCCGCCGCGAGTATAAGCGCATTGTGGTTTCGGTATGTACTGCGAGAATCTTCTTTGCGGAAAGTTCAAATGAAGCGCAAGAGAGACTAAAGAGCAAACCCTCGCCACTCATGACCAACAACAATCAGGTCAAGGTGGACTCTGTGTGAGTGTATATTGTGTAAGACGTGAAAAGATCACAACAAAATGAATGTTTGCTTAAAAGTAAGCAAACTTGATTTAGAAAAAATATCTGATGACCAAATATGTTGTCAGGAAGCAGCGCCTAGCCCTGAAACTGTGATTGTTGCCTCAACACAATCAAAACAAACAGGAAATTATTATTATCATTGACTTTTTTAAAGCACTTTTTCATTCTTGGTCAGAAGTACTTGTATCTATGAATTCTTTGTTTAAATGTTTACAGTAATTGTATCAGCAAATCTATGTAAGACATCCTTTATGTAATGATTTTATATGAGTTATCTTTGTCTGAAGAGAACAAAAAAACAAATATAAAGGTATGATTGATATATTACTGTATATAAATATATATTGAGTGTGTTTCACTGATGTTGATCAATCAGTGGAGAACAAAGAACAGCGTTGTCAAAATGAACATCAGCATATCTCTACAATGCCTGGGCACAACTGTGACCACAACTTTATAAACACTACCAAAACAGTTTTGAAATGACCTCACCTGGTTCGACACTGTTACACTCCATTTCAGAAAGCAATACACCTAGATTGCTGCTTTCCCACAATCCCCTGCAAATATCTTTGAAAGTATAGGGGTTCCTGCACTGTGGGGTTTCTATCCTTTCTGCTTGCTATTCTGTTTTTTTTTTAGCATTACCTGTCTTTGTCTTTTTAAACATCTCCTTACCTTCCCTCCTTTTATTTTTCTTTGTATCTGTCTCTTTTACTCCAATATTTGTTGTGCATGAATCTAATGACAAGTTCATATGCAAACTAAAATAATAAAATAATAAAATTAAAATGTTTGATGAATAAAAAAATGTAATTGGAATGTCTGCATAAGTATGTGAAATTGATACATTATATATAATAAAATAAAACAAGAAAACTAATTATCATATCACTATCATTAGAAATGAAGATTTATAATAAGACTTATTTCCTGAGAATATATTTTGAATTAAGTGTATTTTTCTATGTCATTGGCAAATAGTTTATTCTTGTTCTAAGCATAAATCTCAAAATTTTAGATGGTGTATTATAGTAATACATTTATTACTATTATTATTATTGTGAAAATAATGATAATACAAATTTGCCAACTGCATAAGCAAATGTCAGATAAATACATTTATTTTTAGGATAGGCAGATATTTTTACTGGAAAACAATGAAAGAAATATTAATTGATATGTTATTTTTTTTTCTTTTACAGCGTGAGAGTTAATAAATATAATGCCGGCTGTTATTATGCATCACCTTTTGAATAACACAGAAAATAGGACA